GTTGTGCAATGCCCTAATGAGGAGCAGGTAGCAGCTGGAATGAGGGTGGCCAAGTATCTTGGCCAAACACCGACCGTTGGGCTGCAATACTCGGCGGCGGCACAAAGGCGCCAAAAGGGCGCGGATGGTGTTGAACCCGGGCGTTTGTTCCTCACCGCCTACTCGGATGCTTCATATGCATCAGAACCAGAGGACATGACAAGTGTGGGAGGCTTCATATGCTGTGTTGGTGGAGGCCCAACTGCTTGGGAGAGCAAGAAGCAGGTTGACCAAGCTTTGAGCTCGGTGGAGTCCGAGTACATGGCACTCTTCCGTGCCGTACGGGAGATTGTGTGGCATCGGCGTTTGTTGGCTGAATTGGGGGAGGAGCAGCAAGAACCTACCCCACTGTACTGTGACAGCCAGGGTGCCATTGCTCTTGCTAAGAACCCTGTGTTGCATGGACTCACGAAGCACATGAGAGTGAAGTGGCATTGGACGAGGAGCATGGTAACCGCGGGTGAAGTTGAGTTGCGCTACGTGAAGACCACGGGGCAGCCGGCTGACATGATGACCAAGAGGCTGGTGGAGCAGCAGCATTGGAAGTGTTGCAAGCTGGCTGGGATGGCTCTGAACTGAGAGAGCAACATATCCAAAGGCCAACAATCCGAGGGGGAGTTTGTTGGTGCAACCCTACGGTTTGCACTCGGCTTGTTGTTCGTGTGCGTGAATGTGTGTGTGTATGGAATGGTATGAGGGCATGGGATAATATATATTTCATGCTTATAATTGTGTGTGAATGTTGAGTCATGATGTCGAGTGTGTGTGTCGAGTCAATAGCGAGTTATCGCTAGACGCGTGTTACGCGGTCGTTTGTGTCTCGCGCGCGGTTTCTATTTTGTCGTGCGCGGTTTCTATTTTGTCCTGTGTCGAACGTTCGGCGTGTCGCAGGTGTGTGCAGCAGACCCATCAAGAACTCAAGGATGAGTTTGTGATGAAGAGCCCGAGCCTTGGTGTCAAGCCTCAAGTGATTTCGAAGCTTGCCAAAAGGGTACACCTCAAGATATTGAAGATAGTTACATTACTTTGTGTAGTGTAATATTTCACTTGGTGTAGGCCCTAGTGAAGGGTAGTTTCGAGACCCTTCGTGGTTGGGGACAGTGTGGCACTGTTCCACATCACCTTACCTCGGCTCTTGGGGTTTGTAGGAGCTGGGAGTCATTCCCAACTCGTAACTCTTCCTATCTTGTGTTCTAAGACTATAGTGGCTGCCATAGTACCGTTCGTTTAAACCGACGCTGTGTCGTCAATTCTTTATCAAATCGTGCAATCTAAATTGATAATTGTAGACGACTTGAAGACGCTCTAGATCCAATTTGAATCAAGTCATTTGCAGCTGTGAGCAGAACGCTATCAACGTTTGAAGCCGCTGTGCAGAAATCCGTCTGTGCTCTCTATCTTTCGTTTTAGGCACATTCAAGCCTATTGTGACTATAACAGACCGGATGCACATAGCCTGGTGTTCCCATGTTTTGGGTCGTGCCTACAGTCGTGCCCTCTCCCACCCTCACCAGCCCAAAGTCTGCAATCTTGGCCTGGTGAGTGGTCGAATGATATGATAGTACGAATTAGCACCAAAAAGGGAACAGGTGATGGAGGAAGAAAGGTGCAAGAGCATGAAATTTGGCACTTATTTAGAGATAGATGTGAGGGAATCATATTTATAGTACTGATTGCTTCCTGACAGTATTAAGCTACCGTGCATCCTTGTGCAACCACACGCGCTTGCCTGCATGTCATTGGTGATGAGGATGTTGGCGGGCTTGATGTCGCGATGCACAATGTCAAAGCTGTGGAGGTCCTCAAAGCCACGCGCAACACCAATGAGAATGTCCAATCGCTGCTGGAGACTCAGAGGAGCAGGTGCGTCTGCAACAATGTCAAAGCCAAGGGATGAGCTTCACAGCAAGCATCAGGCGGACAACATGAGTGGCCTGGCCTACCATGAGTGGCACTGCTCAAGTTAATGCTTTACAATAATTTGTTAACACTTACTTGGTCCTAGGGTTGAGAAAAAAAACGAACACCTGTTCGGTTTGCCTCGAACACGTTCGAGGCGAACCGAACAGGTTTTGTTTTTTGGCTTTAAGTGTTCGCCGAACAGTGTTCGATAATCCCCCGAACACGTTCGTGTTCGGTCCGCTGCTGCAATTTGCCCCGCAACGAACACGAACGTGTTCGAGGTTCGCCTGAACACGCCTTCACCCACAGGAGAACGGCGAACACCTGTTTTTGCTCAAAGTGTTCACCGAACCGAACAGTGTTCGGTTCAGCAAACGGCTGTGTTCGTGTAGGGGCGAACACAAACACGTTCTATCCACTTGTGGAGGTCACCGCTGGGCACAAACTCGTAAATCAGGACTTGCTCAATCGTAAACCTGACGTCCCCTCCCACTGCAAACCCCAACAGTCGCACAATGTGGGGATGGTTCTTGTCAGCCATTTGCATGACCTGGAGAACCAGAACACAAGAGCGGGAAAAAGAAGCCGGAGAAAGAAAGAAAGAGCAGGTTGAACAGGGAAGGAAAAACATTGTTTCTTCTTGCTCAACTAGGGAAAATGAGATTTACAAATCACAATATGTGTAGCGCTATTCTAGGTTGAGTTTCTTTCTTTTGTGGAAGTAAGGGAGAACCAATTGTTTTTTTTTCCTCATGCACAGTGCACTCACCTCCTTCTGGAAGTCCACGGCTACGAGCTTGGTGCGCTTGACAGCCAACGGTGTGGTGGCATCACGGGGAGAGATGCCCTTGTAGACATCACCAAAGGCACCCGAGCCAAGCAGATTGTCCTGCGACCAGTCGTTGGTGGCCTTGAGCACCTCCTCCAATGAAAACTCCGTGCAATGCGAGGCTGCCAGGCTGGTTCCCGGGCCTGCTCATTGGGTGGTGGGTGAATGGCGAGGAGGCAATTAGAGAGCCCTCGCACTGTCCATATCGTGAAGAAAAGGAAGAGGAACGTCTCAACTTGGAGCTTTGAGGCGGTGTGGAGGTGGGCAGCAGATCATCTGAGCACATGCAGCACATCTCAGCCCTGGAATCCCGCTGCTCGTACCTCTTGAACTTCGTTGCTTCTGGCGCCTGAAGCAGAGCAGCATGGCAGCCAAAAGCAGGAGGAGAACGACTACAGCAGCAACAGCAATGCCGATGATGGCTCCTATTGGTACACCCCCGCCGCCTCCACCTCCAGATGATGCTGCACGAGCACAACACAACACAATCATGTCGGATAAGCAGAGAAAATGTGACGACCATCACAACAGCACAAGCACGCCTTGGCTGAAGTCAAACATGCACAGCTCTTTGGCCCCCATTGACCCGATTGTTCTTGGCTTGGCATGCCGAACAGGTGCTTTGACAATTCTGGCAGAAGGCCGCGAATAGCGAATGGATTTGGCTGCAGCTTGTGCTGTCAGTAGGAGGACAAGTGAGACCCGTGCCAGTGGTGTTGCTGCAATGGAGGTGGGAAGATCGACACAGGAGAGAATATGCATGTGATTTGAGGTTGGTATGTGGCACTGCCATGTGACTCTGCACTTATGCTTGGACAACTTGAGCACTAGACAGGAGGCAGAAACACAATCACATGCTGTCAACGGGGCATGGGCAGGCATACCAAAGCCTGGTTTGGATTAAGGGATTTTTATTTTTATTTTTTGTTCGAACCGAACTAGAGTTACTTTATTGCCCTCTGTATTGAGGCGGATCTGTTTGGCCGGGTTAGAATAGGCAAAACTGTTTGGCCGGTTCAATCTCTGTTCGAAACGAAAACCTGAGCGCCTCGAGTTCCTCGGTTTCAAGTTCAGGTGAAAATGTGAGGCTGGAGCTTATTATTAAGCCAATCCATCAGGTCACACTAACTGCTTCCCAAACCACCCTTGCCTTTGGATTTTTAAGCTTAGTTAGGCTCTTTGTTTGAGCGTTAGAAACAGAATATGGAGAGTCTTTGGGTAGTAGATCAAGAAAAATCGTGGCCGTGCTGTGGGTTGGTGAGTTTTGGCTGGTCGTTGAGGTTTTGGCTGGTCGTTGAGATTCCTAGACAAGCACGTGTGAAGTGTGATGAGTTGGTGATTATTGGCTGGTGGTTGGGTTTCCCTAGATAGTAAAAGGAGAATCTATGTGGCATACTGGCTGGTGTTGGATTTGGGTTTTCTAGATAGTATAGGGGGAAGCACGGTGGGTTGGGTTCCCTGGCAGTCGTCACATTGACCCTCAGAACCAACGCACCTCACTGCACCCCTTAGGGCGTGGAACATTTGAAAAAAAAAAAAAAAAAATGTTCGAACGTGTCACTAAAATAGGGCCATTGTCAGTTTCTTCTTATCAGTTAGGGTGGACGTTCAGACCAAGCCTTGTATGGACCACAAAGTCGGATAAAAAAAAACCACAAACATTGTGTTACAAACGAGCATCGTAATCATTTTACACTGCCCCAACAACTTTTCTGCCATTCCAACAATATAACCCTTTTTCTCTTGAATATTCAGATGATGATTTCCCCTTAACATATTGCTCTTGGCAGTTCGCACAATTGGGAGGATTGAAGCTGAACTGCATGTTCTCTAGACAAACAATTTCTACTCATTGATTTTTACTCGACTAGAAATGTCTTGTTTTTTCAGGAGGGTGGGGGGGGGGGGGGGGGGAGGGGGCAACCTGAATTGAAAAGTTCATGGGTTAAAAGAAGAGTCAAGTTTCACTTGACTCGTTATCTCACTTGTTTATTAAAAACAGTTTTGAAGTATTTTTCCCGGCTTAAAATTATATCCAAAGACCTGTTTTGACAATAGTTGGCTGAGGTACCAAAATCAAAGCACAGACAGTCTCACACATCCCCAAATTCGAACACTGTGCATGGGACAAATGGATGGGCAATGCAGCAGGTGGCTGATGGGCAATGCAGAGTGCCAGCCATCGAGCAGTACACATTCATGTGAAATCGAGGAATGCCAGCCAGCTTACAGGGTTTCCAAATGAGAAAGGCTCCCAAATGTAGTTGGGATAGGCCCGATGAACTGTTTATGTACAAACCCCTGTCCATAGGGGCATGATTAGTCCGGAATATTCGGAGGAACGCCAAAGTGGAGGGATGATTCTAACAGAAACCATCGAATAAAAAAAATTCGATAAAGACCAGTTGGAAGATTGGTGGAGAGGAACGAAGGGGGTGGGAACACGATGCGATGGCTGGAACGGAGCGGTGCAAGCAAGAGGGGGTGGCAACACGACGTGGTAAGTGGAGTGTTTTTGAGATTCTCAAAAACACTTTACATTGAAGGGGGTGGCAACACGATGCGGTGGGTGGGCGTGCAGAGTGCATGGGCAGTGGAGGAGTGCCAGCACAGCAGTGATGCGCACATGGCATGCAGCACAGCACCCAGTGGAGAGAGCAGCACGCAGGTGGAGCAAACCCAGTGTGCTGCTTACAAGTATGTCAGTGCCGTGAGCGCAGAGATGCTGTCGAGAATGGAGCCCGTGAGAGCGTTAAGGCTGAGATCCCTGTGTGGGTGGGTGAGTTGGGCACGATGAGACGACAGGCTCTAATCCCTTTCCACAGAGGGTGGCTCGAACGTGGAAGGATAAATAGTTAGGGGTTAGAGCAAAGCAAGCAAGTGTAGCGGACTGACTGAAAGTAGAGGTTGAGACTGTTTAGTGGCAGAGTTGTGCCGATGCAATAAAAACGTGGCTGCAATGAAATACAACAAGTAGGTTGGTGCAGCAGGGAGAATCAAGGAGTGGCTAAGCGATTTAGACAGAAGAGGGGGGAGTGGGGGGGGGGGGGGAAGGAGTGGGCATGCGGAGTGCATGGGCAGTGGAGGAGTGCCAGCAGTGATGCGCACATGGCATGCAGCACCCAGTGGGCAGAGCAGCACGCAGGTGGAGCAAACCCAGTGTGCCGCTTACAGGTATGTAAGTGAATTGAGCGCAGAGATGCTGTCAGGAATGGAGCCCTTAAAACTGTTACTGCTGAGATCCCTGTGTTGGGTTGAGTAAGTTGGGATAATAAGATGAATGGCTCAAATCCGTGTTTGCAGCTAAGCTGGATTGGTAGCACTGTCTAGTGTGTGTTGAGCACTCGGACGATCACGTTGAAATACTATGCTAGACGCCTGACACGGCGGCAGACACTGGACACTTGGTTTTAATATATTTTTTTGGTCACCTCGGGGAATAAAAAAAGGTGCGGGAAACCACGGATGCGATTTTGACGCATATCTTGGCGAGTTGAAATCAAAATGCATGCCACCTCGCGTCCCAACCAAGCGATAAGTAGCCAACCAATTTCCCCTCTCCAACCGAACTTCACTCCATCACATTGACTCTAAAGCTCCCAACAAACCCAGCGCACAGCCATTTCAGAGATGAGAATCTAACAAATGTCAACATGCCAGCTTCTAACTCTTGTAACCTCCTAAAAATCTAACCATAGAGTAGTCTTCCCTCCCCCCCCCCTTCCCCCCCATTCCCCCACCCCCCCCCCCCCCCCCCCGGTCTGCAGATTGTGGCTGGAACTTACCAGGATCAACTGTTTTGAAAGGGCTATAGAAAGGCAAGCAAAGGATAAGACCGTGTACTACTGGTAGTTGTGATTTTCTAGAACAAAAAAACATGTGGATTCAAGGTTTCGTGGTTGAGGAACAAAAGAAAGAATACAAGTACAGCAGCAGGGACGAACACGGAGTGGCAAACAGATGCAAAAAGCAGAGGGCGGGGCAAGGGGGCGGAGATGTTTGCGTGTGCAAAGAGCATGGGCAGTGGAGGAGTGCCAGCAGTGATGCGCACATGGCATGCAGCACCCAGTGGACAGAGCAGCACGCAGGTGGAGCAATCCCAGTGTGCCTCTCTAACAAGTTTGTTTTTGCTAAATGTTCGACCCCAGCATGTTGGAGTGTTCAAGGTGACTTACCAGGGACCATTCAAACCCAAACACTTTCGAGTGGCAAATGTGTTCGACGCCTCCTCCCCGGTTCAGATGTTAGAATGAATAGAATTAGAGTATCTTAGGCTTAGCTCATAGGAGAAATCGAAAATATACCACGGTTTTGGGCTATGGTGAATGGTGAATGGAGCTCATGACTTGAACCTGTGTCACGATTCTAATCTTTGCGTAGGTGCCTTAGTTATAAATTCGTGACTTATAAGATAATCAGGGGATACAGTAGGCAGGATAAGGGTGGACCGGCTGAATGCCGAAGCGAACAAACAGAAACGAGAAGTTGGCGGGCGAAAGGGGACCGTTAGTACAACGGTAACCCGCCGCTGGTACTTAAGGAATTAGGCAAGCTTAGGGAGATGCTTGCGTAATTGTTTTCACACTTACAACATTCTACGTATTCAGACGTGGCTAAGCACGAGGAGCCAACCTGCGCAAGCACTGAAGAGAACGTTCGCTAACCATCTCAGCCTGCCGAGCTAGGGTTTGAATAGCCGTCTTGGCCAGGGGCTGGAGACTTTACAACAATTACGCAAGGAAAGCTGCCGATGAACAGCCGAGATTTAGTACGAACTCGACTGTGGAATGACACTGGAGAACTTAAGCCTACTGCGGGGTGGTGAGCCAACTCAGCTGCTGCAGGGGGGGGGGGGGCTCCGCGACGAGCAGGGGCGACGCCCTGGGGGCGCCGCGACGAGCAGGGAAGGACAATGCAAAATCAAGCAAACCAGCAGGCGAGGCAGAGTAGGCACAAGGCCTAGAGCAGTGCGCTGATGATCACCAGACCCAAGTACCTTGATGAAGACATCAGAAGTGTTGGCCCGAGAGGCCAAGCAGGGCGAAGCTGACCACGCCGCTGCAACTCTCGAGCAAGAAAGTAACGAAGAGCAATGTGCTTCGTTCTGTGTTCCAGTCTCTGGTCCCAACACAAGGCAATCATGGTGTTGTTGACGTACAAAACTGGAGGAGAACGAGGCCACTCACCCAAGTCAGTCAACAAGTAGGTCAGCCAGCGTAACTACTGTGCAGCCATAGCCCTAGCGTGGATCTCAGCCTCACAGCTGGAGCCAAGCACAGAAGATGAATGAGTGGACCTCCACGAGACAGAACCAAAAGCCGAGATTGAAAGAGTAACCCTGTGACGACCGCGGAGTAGCCTGATCGTCGGCCCAAGAAGCGTCAGAGTGTCCTGTGAGCAACACTGGACCCCGTCCTCCAAGCACGAGTCCCATGCCCAATGTACTGCGCAAGTAATGTGTACCCTCTGCGCAGTTGTCCAGTGCTCCTTCCTGTGTCTCCCGGGCGCAACGAAGCGAGCAAGGATGCTGAGAGGGTACGTGAGGTCAGGTCGAGTGCACATCATCAGGTACATGAGGCAGCCCACAAGCTCTGGATACGGACCACTTGGCTCTACGGACTCGTCCGAAGGTGGAGCTGAGAGCGAGTGGCCGGTAGGCTGAGGAGTAGGCTGTGGCGAGGAGAACCGAACGCCGAAGCGCTGATGGACCTGCTGCAACATGTGTGACTGGTGCAGAGTGATGGTGCACCTTGCTTTGTCCCGAATGATCTGCAAGCCAAAATAGCTCTGTAGCTCACCCAAGTCAGTGCAACTGTGTCTCTTCTGCAACTCCGCCTTCACAAGGGTTAGCGCCTTAGTGTCAGCAATAGCAAAGACCAAGTCATTGATGTACACGAGGATGTAGAACGGCGGCAGAGAAGGGTCGGTGCGCAGAAACAGCGACCGTTCAGCAGTCAAAGGAGCAAACCCCAGAGCCGCAATGTCATCTTCAGTGTTTCGTGCCACTCGCAGGGCGCCTGGCGGAGACCGTAGACTGGGTGTCGGAGGCTCTACTGGGTACCCTAAGGAAACAACCTGGTAAAGCCAGGTGGGCGGCGCAGCCAGATCTCCTCGTGAAGGCTGCCCTGCAAGAAAGCTGCGGAAAAGTTGAGGGAGTGCAGCTCGTAGTCAAGCTGTGCTGCAACGTGCAGTAACACCCGAAGAGTAGTCATCTTCGGGGTGGGGGAGAAGGTACGGAAGAAGTCGACCCCCTGTCACTGACTGAAGCCTCGAGCAACGTAACGCACCTTGAAGGCAGGCGGATAACCCGGCGGCCACTTCACTCTGAAACTCCACACGCCATCGACTATGTTCGCCCAAGGAGGGGGAACCTCGTCGATGTAGGTGCCTATGGACCTCCAGGAAGCCATCTCTGCGTCCATGGCTGTCTCCCACTGAGAGGAGTACTCACCCATGATTGCCTCTGCGTAAGAGCGCGGGGTAAGGATGTCAAGTGCATGGCAAAGCATCATAGAAGCGAGATGAGGTACAGCGGCCGCGAGGCACTCGTGCTCAAACTGCCTATTCTCAAGGACGTCACTGCTAAGGGCAAGCTCACCCCTGACAGACAGAGGACAGTCAGGGGAGGCAGGATGAGACTCGGGCTCATGACGCTCTGTCAGGGAGTCTGTCTGCGCAAGGTAAGGAGAAGGAGCAGGTAGTCGAGAGGCAGGCAGTAACTGCGGCTGTGACTGGTCAGGTAGAGGACACAGGATAGGTGGAGTAAGGCCAGTGAACGACGGAAGACTAAGAACTTGACAAAGTACCGAGCCAGGCGGTGGCAGGGACGACTGCGGCTGCTGGTAGAAAAACGGTCGTCGCGGCGCAATACCCACAGTACCAGAGCCTCCAACCCCAGCACCTCCAGAACCTCCAGCTCCATTACCTCCAGAACCTGCAGCTCCAGTACCTCTAGCACCAGTAGCTCCAGTACCTCCAGCACCAACAGCTCCAGTACCTTCAGCACTAGCAACTCCAGTACCTTCAGCACTAGCAACTCCAGTACCTCCAGGAATCAGCACCAGCGCCAGCACCAGGAATCAGCACCAGCGCTAGCCGCCAGCACCAGGAACCAGCATCAGCGCTAGCCACCAGCACCAGAGGGGTTGCGTGGAAGAAGTAAGTCGGGCATTTGCAGCCGTTGCCTGTAGCAGGCACGCCCCCGGAGGTGCTGAGCCGCGCTGTCCAGCTGCTCGTTGCAGCCACGGCGCTTGCTCTCACGCCCACCTCTTGGGTCCTGCACCTGCCGTTGTTGCATTTCTCATGGCTGATTTGGAAACGCATGCAGTCCTTTCTTCTCCACAAGTACTCTCACCTATGCTATGGTGTCTTCAGACTGCGATGCAGGGGACGTTGTGGGAGGTGGTGAGAGGGGGTGAAGGGGACGTGCTGAAGGGAAGCCGTGGGCTTTTACCTTGGAGTGTCTGAAGGACACCATACCTGCATATGCCCTCATGCCTTCTTGTGTTATGTGCTCATGTGCTCATGCCCCCTCATACCCTCAGGCCCTCATGCGTGCGTTGCAGGATCTTGTCTTGAGACTATATTGAAAGGGTGGGGACGGATGGTGGTGACGCGAATGGGAAGGACGAGACTGGGGACGGAAAAAGGCATGTCCGTTGGGGTGCTGGCAGCACTATTATGCTACCGCATGCGCCACCACTCCGTCCTATAACTGCCCTGATGAAGCCCATTGCCGTGCTTGCTCACACGGAGCCCCTCGGCCTGGGGGGGAGGGAACCTGTTGCAAATCCTTGTGCTGGCTTGCAAGCTCAAGTAGAGTGGTTCTAAGGATAGCATGGCATGACTGATGAAATCCTCACCTTGAAATGCACAGTGCCCCCGTATATCGATAGAAGGACCACTCGAGAGGGTGAGTCATCATTGTGTGTGAGATGGGTATAGAGAAAAGCGAGATTGATTTGCATAGTGGGTGTGTGGTGTGAGGAGTGGCGGAGGGGGCGGGGAGCGATTGAGATGCGGGTGAGCGGGGGGAGAGTGCAATACAAAGTGGTGTGTTGCGATTGGATACAGTTCAGTGCATGCACTCACGTATTTATGAAAGTCCCTGGGGATGGGTTGACAGCAGCAGCGAGGTTAAACTTGGAGAAGAACCGATCCACTTGGTTCCGGAGAATCACAATGAACCTGCTCCTCGGCAGAACCAGGTGCAGCAGCTGTGGCACAGTGTGCCTCTCGTCCACATGCCCTCACAGCACCACGCTGAGCTTGTGAGCAGCGTGCTGGACGCCTCGCATATGACCGCGCTTCCCCCCGTGTTCACGATGTGCTGCGCTGCCTCGTCCAACAGAGACACGTACCACACAAAGTCCCGAGCCCCGTTGCGGTCCCACCTGGAAAGGGAGGGTGGGGATGGAGTGGCGGGCCCATGAAGCCAGAAGAGGGCAGGGGAGGGGAAAGCGTGGCGAAGGGATAGGGTAGGGAAGGGAGGGGTGGAGGGGAGCGGGGTTATGTGGGGGAGGGGAGTGTGTAGCGATTGGGATGTGCTGTGCTGCCTCGTCAAAGAGGGAAGCGTATCACGCAAAGTCCCTCTCGCAGTTGTGGTCCCACCTGAAAGGGTTGGGGTGGGTTAGGGATCGGGAAGGGGAGGGCAAGGCGCATCACAGCATGTCCACTGTACGCTACACGTCCTGGTTGAAGATTGTGCCTTGAGAGGTTCATCCCTTGAGCAAGGGTTGGAGTTGAGTGAAGAACGTTGTGCTTCACACATTGCTGCTTTGTTGCGAATATTGGGATGTGCAGCGCAGGGACTGAAAAAGGTGAAAATAAGGACGTGATAAGTAAAGACTGCGAGTGGCGCAGTGGCCCAGACCAAAGCACCATTGGGTAAGAGCTTTGGTGTACCGGGAAGTGCTTCCTATGGTGGTTAGCTACCGTTTTCGTTTCTCATTCTCTGCCCACGGTACTCTCAAGTCTCTCTCAAAACCAGTGGGGGCAGATGTTAGTGGTTGATTCCATCATCCATCCCAGCCTCATCAAGTCCCCCCGTCGACTCTACCGCCCTCCCAGGACGGCACCCTTGCGCCAGTGCATGGGCTAGAGCACCTGGAGGTGCTGCTGGTGGTGGCAGGGTAACAGGGCCTGGTGCTGTGCAGCGCGCAGCAGGTCTCCGAGCCAAGGCTGCCCTGGAGTCCCTGGAGTTTGACGACGCGCGCGTTCTCAATTAGGAGCATGTGTCGCCCGCAACACTGCCATATAACAATGCTACTTCTCCTGCTGGTGCTGTGCCTGGAGCTGCTGGTGCTGTTGTTGGTGTTACTGGTGGTAACGCGGTGATCAAGTCCAGGCTAACCACTTGCCAAGGCTGTTCGGGGATAGGAAGAGGCTGATGTAACCCTTCCTTTTTCTATTTGCTGCTCTTCATCCGTTGGCAGGTGTTGAACAAGATGACGAAGGTCTGTACGTTGTCTGCCATGTCTGTCACGCGCAACTTGGCCAGGGCACAAAATTGGTTTAGGCCTACCCTTACAAATCAGGGTTCCAGCCCCTCCTTACCCCGACCCCTAGGGTAAATTTTCTCGTACCCTGTTTGCAGCAGGGTAAATCAACCACTAGCCTAATTTGAGCAGGGTAGTTTTAGGCCAACCCTGTTTCATTTACTAGTTTGTGAGCTAAGTTATTTACGATGACATAATAAAGTAGCACTTACAAAGTCGATGAGCTCTGGAAGAGCATCACATTCACAACATTCCTACTCAGTGCCACCCCCACTGCCTACTACTTCTTCTACAAACAGGGTGTCGCCTCATTGGGTGAAACAACCAATGAGGCGACATGGCGTGTCGCCGACAACGACTCTTGGTTTTATGCTAGTGGTAAGAAGCGACAACGCTTGTTTGTGTGGGTGTGCTTCAGTTCGTCACCAAGCGGAGTATGGCCTGATCCGCGGTAAAAACGTTTCGGTATCAGGGTAGTCTACACCCTACCCTGATACTGTCAGGCTAACCATATATCCTATCAGGGTAAAAGAAAACATGCTCATTTTGCATAAGGGTAACTTTCATGGAATCCTGATTTTGGCAGGGTAATCCTGAAAAAGCGGCCTGCCCCTAGGGTAATCAGGGCGTTTTACCCTGATATTTTGGGCCCTGAACTTGGCCAACACATAGAGCCAGTATGGCAGCACATTCTGACTAGACGTGCAGCAAGTGACCCAAGAGTGAAGGGGAGTGGATTTGGAACTCGCCTGCTAAGGCGAAATTTGTTACAGTGATAGGGGTGCGCTTTTAAAAAATCACGATTTTTTAGGGGGTGCGCTTATATTTGAGAACTGAATATAACTGCAATGCTCCAAGGTCTGTACTTCGTAGTGTCAGCCCTGGCGTGGAGGGTTGCACATGATTCAGGTGGAAACAAGGATTTCCCTCCACTAAGCCAAGACAAGTCAAGCCGTCCTATAGTGTAAAAAGTCAAGCCGTCCTATGGTGTAAAAAGAAAAGGTGTAAAAATGAGCAAGTAACGATAAGTATCACAAACAACAGGGCAGTCCCTTGGGCCCCCCAAAGCAATCAGGAGGCTGGAATGATGCATACAATGCAACAATGTCACAGATGAACCATGATAACCCCATCCCAATCCTAGACTGGGTGTTCAGAGATGAAGCTGACCCTATCCTCAATCATTTGAATTTGTGCCTCCAGGCTGTCCTCACCCGCAACAGCATCCTTCATCTCCTGGACCTGCGCATCCACCTTGATGGCAGCGCCAGATTCCTCTTTCCCCAACACCTCCTCCTTGACAGCCTGCAGCTGGGTGGCAATGTGCGCCATGCTTGGGCGGCTTGCAGTGCGCTCCACGGTGCAGCTCACTGCCAGCTCAGCCAAGCGCTGCACAACATCCCCAGGGGCGTCCATGGTGGGGTGCTTGAGGCTTTCTAAACCACCTGATGACAGGCACTCGGATACCTGAGAGTGGAACAGGGTGGACAAAATTGCAAGTTTGTAAAGGTGAAATACACATCAGTCAGCCTATGAAGAAGAATATATCACTTCAATTGGAAGAATGCGATTATGGCAACATGAAACAAGCTTCCTGAGTGGAACTTACCCACACCACGATGTGCTTGGTCTCCCCAGCATCATCGAAAAGTGAAAACCGTCCAGTGAGCACCACAAGCATGAGCACACCAAAGCTGCAACGTGCGAGGGGTGGTGAGAGCAACGCAACGGTGACATGCATATGACAACTCTATTGTGTGAATCCAAATAACCTGTTGAAGATTTCAGTGGTGTTCCATGACATGCTTGTTCCAGGTGCAAGTTTGATGCATAAGCCAATATCGACATGACATCTGACAGGTTACTGCCACTCTTTTAATTCCTAGGAGTCTTGTTTATTTGAGCCAACTCCCAGAGTCTTCTGGCTCACATAGCACGATCTCTATATGGCTCTTTGCTCACCTGTAGACATCGCTGGCTGTGGTGGCCTTGGAAGTCCGGTTGTAAACCGGATCCACATAGCCCAGTGTTCCCATGATTCGAGTCGTGCCCACTGTCGTGCCCTCTTCCACCCTCACCAGCCCAAAATCTGCAATCTTGGGCTGATGGGTGGTTGGATAAATGTGATATTAAGAATGCACCAGCACAAAAGAAAGAAACAACAATGGTGACAAAACAAACGACATACGTTGGTTGCATCCAGACACAAGAAACACGAACGTGTAAGTGAGCGTGAGCCATATGCAGAACTAGATAAAAAGCGAGACTAGATGAGCCAAACTAGAACAACCAATTATTTTGGCATAGCTCTGCCTTTTCCTATCAATTCTCGTGGCTAGTTGATTTCCACAGAAGCATCTTGTTATGCAGTGTGAGATGCTGCAACCGCGCTTGCCTGCATGTCGCTGGTGATGAGGATGTTGGCGGGTTTGATGTCGCGATGCACAATGCCAAAGTTATGGAGGTACTCAAAGCCACGTGCAACACCAATGAGGATGTCTAGCCGTTGCTTCAGACTCAGAGAAAAAGGTGCATCTGCAACAAGCCACGGGATGAGTTTCACGACAAGCATCACCAGGCAGCATGAGAAGCCTACCACGAGTAACATTGTACAAGGGAATGCGACACAACAACTTGCACACTTACTTGGTCCTATCCACTTATGGAGGTCACCATTGGGCACAAACTCGTAGATGAGGACTTGGTCTATCTGAGACCTGACGTCCCCTCCCACCGCAAACCCAAGCAGTCGCACAATGTTGGGATGGTTCTTGTCGGCCATTTGCATGACCTGGAGGAAGTGAGAACCGGCACACGGGAACAGGAGGAAGGCGGCAGGAAAGAAAGAGTAGGTTGAGAAAAGAAGGAGGAACAGTGATTCTGCTCGCTCAGCTTAGGGACGCTGAATAGTCCTGATCAAAATAGATAGCACATTCTTAGATGAAGCGTCTTTCTGTTTGAAAGTAATGGAAAACCGAACTGTCTTATCCCCATGTTGACTGACGGAGTTTGTAGTCCAGCCATCTCCCCATATGCGGCACTCACCTCCCCCTGGAATTCCGCGCCCATGAGCTTGGCGCGCTTCACAGCCCAGGGTGTGGTGCCATCACGGGGAGAGACGCCCTTGTAGACATCACCAAAGGCACCCAAGCCAAGCAGGTTGTCCTGCGACCAGTCGTTGGTGGCCCGCAGCACCTCCTTTAGCGAGAACTCCGTGCAGTGCGAGGCTGCCAGGCTGGCCCCTGGGCATGGCGGTGGGGTGGGGGGCGAAGAGTGAGGAGGTAATGAGCGAGCCCTCGCCTTGTCTTGCCTTGTTGTTATCGAGCACACGCATACAAAATGAGTAGACATGAAGATGAACCATCTTAACAAGGAACGTTGAGAAGTTGTGGAGGTGGGAGTTGAGCTGAACACATCGAGAACCAATCCTGCTTCTCCTACATTTAGAGCTTTGCCGCTTCTGGTGCCTGAAGCAGAGCAACATGGCAGCCAGAAGCAGGAGGAGAACGACCACAGCAGCAACAGCAATGCGGATGATGCCTCCCACTGATACACCCCCTCCACCTCTAGATGCTGCTGGTGCTGCTGCTGGTGCTGCTGCTGCTGCATGAGCACAACAAAAGCATGTCAGCTGAGCAAAGAGATTCGATGTAATCTGAGCAAAGAGAATGAACTGCCATTCACAACAGCACAAGCATGGCAGAAGTGGGGGTGATTCAAGTAAACTAGGCACCGCTTCATGAACCCCACAAACCTGTTTCTTGCTGGCATGCAGAACAGGTGGTGCCACAATCTTAGCAAAAGGCCGCCTTTGGCGATAAGGTTTGGGCGCAGGTGGTGCTGTCAGCAGCAGGACAAGTGAGGCTGGTGCCAGATGTGTTGCTGCAGTGGAAGTGGGCAGATCGGCACAGGAGAGAATATGCTTGGGGCAACTTGTGTGCGGATGGTTGCATGCACAAGTCAGGAAACAGTTTTATATAGCTGTCAACTAGGCATGGCTAAACCGAACCTTGGTTCGGTTTAGGCAAACTGGTTCGTGTGGAACCAAAGTAGAGTTATGTTTTCATCCTTTTTGGTTTGCCAAGATCCTGTTAGGCCAATTTGACCTGTTCGATCTCTGCTCGGAGGGGATTGGAGCTCATGCTTTAAATCATTCTTAGCTATCTCCTCGTCACTAAACGGGGCCATCGTCCGTCAAATTGAACGTCCGGACCAAGCCTCGTTCACACCACAAGTGGATGTCATGTGAGTTTAAATACCACATTGATTTGCGGAGGTTGAGTTACAAGAAAACAACATCAACAATTCACAGATGCCCAAAACTTTATGCGTCATCCCAACAGCCATCGTGTTCGACAGCCTGGTTTTATTTGTTTTCTTTAGTCGTGACGACTTTGCGATTTTCCAATTTCGTCATGCACCAAATTTTGGCTATTAAGTCATGGATGGAGCAGAACACGTGCGGCAGGAGCCTCCTCGCAGCAGGGGCCGCACACACGCTGGAGGAGTTGTGCTATGAGGCCGATGACGATGGGTTTTGAGATCTGGACCCGAGACTAGACACCTTCTAGTAATGTTGGCGCCGGCATCAGTAATGAGAAATCAGTGGGAAACTCCTCGAATGCGGTGATAGTGTAAGAATCCGATTCCACTCATTCCAATACTGCGAAAATTCCGAGGGAAGCTTGTGGAGTGTCGCTCATGTAAGCACACTATCAGTCATAGCCATGGTCGTTGCACCATGCATTTCACCGAGTGGCCAAACTAAGGATGCCACGAAGTGCGAATTTGTCCGGCTGTTCTCAAGGAGGTGGAGAGCTATTCGTGGAGCAGCAAGTACGAAGACCGCTGGGGGATGAGAGGGCGAGAGCGGGGAGCGCCACGATTGCTTCGGTTGGAGGGCACACCTCTAACAAGCAGAACGCTACGGATTACTTAAGGGAGAGGTGGCCGCGAAGATAACAGTGGCGGATGAAGCGATATGCCTGTACCTACACGAGGGGCACGTCGAGCACCCGTTCCTTTGCCACATGGTGCCGACAATCGTTTTAGTGGGGAGCCTTTACTTGCCACCAAAGGCGTTGTGTTGGAGGTGCAGCTCTGCAGCAGCATCGTAAGCGGATCGGGTGTGCATTGTCGCCAGTGGAGGCTAAGTTGGAATATACGCTGTTTGCATATGATACGCTAGCGTATAAACGCTGAATTTTTCTTGGGAAAGGTCCGGTACGCAGTGAACACATAAAGTGAGGAATGCCAGACAACAGTAATGTGCACACGGCATGCAGAACAGCTACGCAGCTTACAGGTAGTCCAATTGAGCAAGACTCCCAAGTGTGGCTGGAATGATCCCGGAAAATTCATTTTGGTGCACATCCCTGTACAGAAGAGCAGGACATCTAGAGGAGCAGCTGAATACACAAGAGAGTTTAAAATTGGGTAGCACTTATAAGTTTTACATAAGCAACGAATGCGTGAATTCAATCAAGACCAGCCAGATGGTTGGCTTAGGCGGTAGGAAAGATGCAGTGGCTGGAACTTATAGGGATTGATTGGTTTGAAATTGCAATAGCAAAACGAGCAAATGCAGAGGACTGAATGAAACTGTTGAGGTTGAGAATCAGTAATTCAGGGATTTGAGTTCTGCCAATTCAGGAACAAAAGCATGAATCTGAAGTACAACAGCAGGGAGGAACATGGAGTCGCAAAGCGATGCAGCGTGCAGAGGAGGGGAGGAGTGGGCATGCAGAGTGTATAGGCACTGGTGGGGTGTCAGCAGTGATGCGCACATGGCATGCAGCACCCAGTGGACAGAGCAGCATGCAGGTGGAGCAAACCCAGTGTGCGGCTTACAGTGTCCCGAGATATAAGAGTTTGGAGATGCTGTTGGGAATGGAGCCGGTGAGGGAGTTAGAGCTCGGATCCCTGTGTGGGTGAGGGAGTTGGACGTGGTGAGGCGAGAGGCTCAGAAGCCTGTCCACGAAGGGTGGCAGGGACTTAAAATGATTGATCACTTTGGAAGGGCTATTGCAAGGCAAGCGGGTGCACAGGAATGACAGAGATTGCAAAGATCGACTCTGTAGTTGCAATTTTGAGTTCTGCCAAAGCAGTAAACATTTCAGGGTTTTGAGGTTAAATTACAAGAACAGGAATTTGAATAAAAAAATAAAGGAGCAATGTGCCGAAGACACCAGAGGGGGTGCAGAGTGGCCGTACAGAGTGCATGGGCAGTGGAGGAGTGCCGGCAGTGATGCGCACATGGAATGCAGCAACCAGTTACCAGTGAACAGAGCAGCCCACAGGAAGAACAGTGTGCCACTCACAGGTATGTGACTACCATGAGTGCGGAGATGCTGCTGGGAATGGAGCCTGCGAGATAGTTAGAGCTGAGATTCCTGTGTGGGGTTGAGTTGAGTGATTCGGACGTGATAAGATGAGAGGCTCACACCCCGTTTACATAGGGTGGCTGGAACTTGGAAGGATTGATTAATTAGGAGCTTCAGCAAGGCAAACAGATGCAGAGAACAGACTGAGATTGTACAGGTTGAGATTGTGTACTGGCAGGAATGAGTTCAAAATAGCACGTAGGTTCAATGAAGTACAGCAAGTAGGTTGGTGCAGTAGGGCAGAACAAGGAGTGGCAAATGGATGCAAACGGCAAATGGATGGAACCAGTGTGTTGAGTGCATGGGCAGTGGAGGAGTGCCAGCAGTGATGCGCACATGGCATGCAGCACCTAGTGGA